CTTCTTTTCTTGTCTACTTTTGGTACCAATAGACTTTCTCCTAGACTTACATAATGTTGGTTCAGATTTTGTAGCGGCCATCTTATGTTCATTTGACACTGAAGAGTTTGCTTGCTGAGAAGTTTGGGACAAAGTTTCCATAGCAACCTGCACAATGTTCAATGCAATCACTGTAGTAACAGATACATTTAATGACTATATAAACAGTAAAATCCCGTTAACTCGGGCTCTCAAGGTAGGCCCGTACCGTGATTTTTAGAGGGATTGTTTTGGAAAAAAAAGGCATTTGAGAGTAGTAAACTTACCTTTTGCTCAATTTTTACATCAAAATTTGATCTGACAATCTTTTGTCAAAATTTTTACACAGCTATACCCAAAATTTTGAGACTTTTAGTCAAATAATCTGGAAAAAATGCCCCATATATTATATAAACTATATAAACCATAAATTATATAAACATTTTGTTTTTAAAAAGTGTTTTACACTGTAAATCTAAAGGGTTCTTCAAGGTTCTGCGGCGGTTCCTCTAAGAACCTTGAGGTTCTTAGAGCCGACTTGAAGAACCTGTGGATTCTTCATGCTGCTAAATGGTTCTTTATAGAAGCGGCTAATTTTTTAAAGGAAGTTTGAAAAACCTTTAAGGTTCTTCGCTTAAATTGTTAGATATTTTAGTCTTAAGGTTCTTCAAAAAATTCTTCAAAAACTTTTTTTTTTCTTTTTTAATACTCCATTTTGTTTTTCGATATATTTTTCTACCCAGCATGTTAGTTGATTACAACGTGGATTTATAAACTTGACTAAACGTTTAAACATGAATTTTGAAACAAAATGATATACTACCAACAGTTGTTAGCTTAACATATCGTTTTATTTTATCAATTACTAAAATTAATTTTGGATACCTTATGAGTTTTGGATCCAAACAATGTGTGGATCCAAGATTCTTAAGGTAAAATGAAAAATCATATATTCATGAGGGAAAATGTTTGAAACTATTACAAAACGTTATTTATACTAATTGTACTAAATTTAACGTAATTTGTACTAATTGTGGTAATCATTAATGATTACTATTTGTCTATCTATGTTTTAAAATATAATGTTGAGATCATTGTACAGAATCCAAATATCATACTGGCAGTATGATATTTAGATTTTATGCAATGATCCCAGCATTATATTTCAAAACAGTATTACTGCATCCAAAATTAATTTTAGTAATTTAATTTGAATACAATGACAATGCATTAGCTTTATTTTGTCATATAAGTTAATTCAAATTTAAAGTACAATTTTCCTTAAATTTTTAGTTAAAATTTGGAATGATGAATTGGTCAATTGAAGAAGTTTGTTTGCATTTAGAGCAGAAAGGTCTTGGTGATTTAAAAGAAAAAATTGTTGGTTAGATATTGCATTTTGAGTTTTAAATGTTTGTTTAGTAATAATTATACTGATATTAAATCTATATTATTTTTGTATTTAGCAAATAATATTTTTTGAAATGGCTGCATCTAATAATAACTTGTGTTTTACTTGTTGTACATGTGGCGCGCAGAAGTATTCTGTGCAAAAATATTTACAACATTTGTATATCATGCATGAACATACCCCTGGTTTTTCCCCATCATGTAATATTAATAGTTGTCCTGCCAAATATAAATCAGTCAAATATTTACGACACCATATGCACAAAAAGCAAAGTTTCATTTTTAGCACACCTCAAATATTAACAAATGAGCCTGATAATATTAGTGAAACAATGGAAAACCACATTTTAGCAGATAGTAATGGGGGTAATACCATAGCTGAGTTTGTGATAGATTCTACCACTAGCAACTGCAGTCAAGCAAGTTGTAGTTTGGATTCTAATATAGGTGCCATATCTTCGCTAGACAGTCTACTCAATTATTTGCAGAAACATTACGCTATGTTTGTAGTTGCAATAGCAGAAAAACATTCGATTCCGTCTGTTGTTCAAATTGATTTAGCAAATGAAGTATAATCTTTGTTGACATATTTTAATCATACCTTTTGTGATCTAGTAAAGCAGCAACTTGGGGAAGACCTTGTTAATAATAGTGATTTATGTCAACTTTTAAATAGTGGTTTGATTGTAGATAAAATTTTATCTGTGGTCAATTTTAGCAAAAAGGTTATATCATTTTGTAAGTCAAACTTAGGTCTTATTTTGCCAGTTGAAATAAATTTACACTACGTAAATGAAAACCAACGTGAATATGGTTTAAAAAAACAAAGCTGTGAAACTTTTCAGCATGTGCCCATTTTGCCATTATTAAAAAAGTTAGTCGAAAATGAGCTTATCTGGCATTCAATGAAACGAAAACTTGAAAAAGATGAGTCAATTAATAAAGTCTTGCTATATTCATATTCAGATGGTTTAAATTGTAAACAACATGTCATTTTTAAAAACAAGATTTCCGCGAACAAATTTAAACAGACTTTTTCTCTGTAGGCATAAAGTGATCAAGTACAGTACCAGCCAAGTTATTAATGTTTCATTAAAAAAAATAATTCAATATATTTTTAATTTAACATTCAAATGTAATTTATTTTTAATTGAACTTTTATCATTTCATATTTTCAATCTGTCATCTAAATCAAGTAATATTTCGGATAATCTAAAGTTTTAGCAACAAAAATAAACAATACTATCTTGTTGGCGGTTGACTTGAAACTGTTAAATGTAATAATAATAAACAATACAAAATATTGTTATTGATAATAATTGATATAAGAGTAAATTATTAATATATATATTATTAATCACATTAAACTAAAAAAATTTAGTGTAAACAAAAATATACTTACAAGATATATATATTTGGGTCAAACAGCAATGCATATTGTAAAACTTCTCTTGCATGAGCTTGGTGCTTCAAATATTTATAAGCCTAATGTAAAACAATACGTGGCTTGTATCATGTAACATTTTAATCTAACTTTTATAAAGATTCTTATTGATTCTTATTCAAAAAATCTTCAAACTATTCTTTGATGCTTGTTCTTATTTGGAGGTGGGGAAGGGGAAATTTCAGTTTAATCCGCTATCTTTTACATATACTACAGCAAAAATTGTTTTTTTTTTTTGTCATCAATGCAAATAAAAATAGCAGTTTTAGTTCAATAATTCGAATGTTAAAGGATATGCTTTGAAGAAAAAAGGAAAGCTAAGTTTTAGACTACAATGTAATTTCGATAGATAGTGCATGATTCCGTAGAGTACTTATACTAAAATAAATACTCATAATTGTATTAAGATTATGGGTATTTATTTTAGTATAATGGAATTATATAATTTTTTAAATTATGGAATCAATTAAAAAATAACAATATAAAAAATTTGAAAAGCATTTTTTCTTTTAAACGGCATCTCTTTAATTTCTAAAAAATATAAATATTTTTGCATGTGTGTGTGTGTGTGTGTGTGTGTGTTTACGTGTATATGTATATATGAGTATGTGTGCATATATGAGTTTTTACTCTTAACGTAGTATTTCTCAGAAAAATTATTTTATTGTAAAATTACAAAAGCCATATGGGCTTTAAATGTTGTTGGGGTTAAATGTTAAATAGGGCTCTATGAAAAAAATGTGGTGACACCAGTCATCCGTATCTTCTTTGAGCCCCTGTCTGTTTTATGAATTTATTTTTTTTTGTGTGTAACGTTAAAGTTTCATTGTAATTTTATTATTTTATTTTTATATGAACATCTTTAAAAAAAAAGATAAATAATTATGCCGAATTTATTTACAAGTTTTCTCGATTTTATAACACCACCACAAAATTGAGTTGATAACATTCGGTATCGACCTTAACTCTTGACTTGAATTCAGACTACATTTGAAAAAAATTTAGTTTCACAAAATAAGATCAAAACCGAATGTCTACAAACTCGCATCACTTATTGAACCCTGACTAAGTGCACTTTTGTTTTTCACTAGTTTAACTTATTTTAGGTAAAAAGGTTAATACTTGATCAAAACGCAAAATTAATATTTAACTTTATTTTCATTGAAAACTAAAAATATAAAAAGTAAAAAGATAAAAAAGATATTTCAAAGAAAGTAAACGAGGTATTAGTAACATAACCTTTTATCATAAATTTACCATTGCAACCATTAGCACAATGACTCCGTTTAAAGTATTTTTCTCAATTGCTAGAGTGGTGACTAATTAAAACAATTCGGAAAATATAAATTGAAAAAGAATGTGTCTGCCCAGCTTTTGGTGAAAGGCAAAAATGCTATAAAAGTTATTTACAGGGCTTCAATATCAGACAAAAAAACTTACGAACATATTATCTAAGTAACGCGCTTGCAGCAGCTCGCTTTGTTCTGCACAAGTTTTCAAAGGTTTCTTGATTGCTAAGAAAAATGACCAACATGAATTTAAGTTTGAGTAGAATTCAAATGAATTTTAGAATTTGAAACAATTCTCTATTAACGATGGCCTTTTTGTCTAATATTTTTAGTCACTATACATATCTATGACGTATAGGTACTACATATACTATGACAGTGAAATTTGTTCAATCTTAGTGCATACATTCACGACAAAAACTGTATAGTTGGTTTATTTATTTATTAACCCAAAGAGATGCAATATTTTTACAGGTATAAAGTGATGGCAACTTAAAAACCTCCTTGCTAAGTTTATACGACTTACTATACTACTGTTTAATTCTAGTTTTAGTTTGGATTAATTAGTTTTTTTTTAGGTAATAAATGTAATTTACCATGGTTCATGTTGTTTATACAGTTTTGTCTATACAATCATGTAATTATTTGATTATATAATTGTAAAGTGACCAACGGAAAAAAATGAGCATAACAGTGTAAAACAATGTTAAACTATTTGACGCAATTATGTTAGATCGTTTTTATGCAGTTTACCGCCTTGGCGGTGTTCTTTAACTAGCTCGCATCTGATTTTTGTGATGTTTCCTTTAAATAACACATCGTATAACAAGAAGCATTCATAATCAAAAATATATTTCTTGCATAAACATTTTTGTATTGTAGAATATAGAGGTTTGTTAAAAAAGCTTACAAATTAGATAAAACATTAAATAATAAGAATGTGTCAAAAAAATAAAAGGTGTATCCCAATATTTATAATGACACCAGAAATAAATCCATAATAGTTCCAAGTTGAACGATTTCCTCCACTGCTTACTTCATCAAATACAAGATCTGCATTACATTGAATCCACACATTAGCAATTGGTTTGGGATAATCTTTTAAAACGTGAAACTTTTCGTTAGTCCGATAAAATAACGATTCTAAATTTCAATTAGAAAAATTAAAGTAAATTAGATGAACTCAATAGATATAATTCTTAATTTATATATAATTAAATAAATTGTAAATAGTTATATAGTAAATATAACATGTTTATTTATAAATAAAAATGTAAACATAATAAAATATTTATTTCATACTTAATTTTTATAACAAATCAATCGTATTGTTATATTAGAAATATATTACGAAAAACAAAGTTAATGTGAAAAAAAACTAAAAAAATTTAAATTAGATGAAGTATTTTAACAAAATAATGGTTTTCTATAATTTTACCTTTGAAGATGTATAGTACTTTATTTTTCCACACAAAAGCCGAATCTACATTTTCTGGTACACCAACTAAGTGTTTTTTAATGTCACGAGGGTAGCTCAAATCCATTGATTGGCTGTAGTCGTCGTAACGGTAATATTCTTTTCCAGCCAGTATATACGTCTTTCCGTTGAGATACCATATAAAAATAGCGTCAATATGTTTAATGTCTTGTTTTAACCCCTTATATTTGTTGAAAATTGAACCACTTTCAATAAAGCTACGACTAGCCATACTTGCATATATGTAGTATCTAAGAATACGTAAAAAATCGTGAAGTGTGTTTAAACATTTTAAAATTATTATTAACTGTTATAAATTCATTTATTAAAAGTTTTTGATATTTATCAAAATTTATTTTTATTAACATTATGATTAATTTATTTGTAATTAACATGCCAAATATTTTTTTGAAGTTTTGTCATGACAATTAATTCATTTTATACCATTTTGATTTTTCAGGCATAAATTAGTTCAATTTTGCTTTTTTGTATGCATTTACTATTTATGAGATTTTATATAAAAAAAGATTTTATATAATATTTAATACAACATAAAACATTAACGCACTAATTTTGATTGAATTAGTTTAATCAGTTACTATGTTTTTAAGTTTACTCAGCGATACCGTACCCTAGACAAAAATATCCTTCAATTTCTCATATACTTATGGAACTGAGTGTCGACTGGAGTTCCAATAAAATTTTTAGTCAAACTTTAATGATTTCCATAAAAATTGCAATAAAAATTAGTTTTATAAAATATGTAAAACAGGTGAAGAAAAAAAAAAAAGCATAAAACTTACCTAAACTTTCCTAGAATTTCTATAAAGCGTGTATTTCAAAAGAGCGTTATATATATTTAATAAATACATAGGTACTGACTTTAAAATACATTTTAAAGTCATCAAATAACTTTAAATATGTAATTTTTTTGTTTTGTTTAATCTTATAATAAATATTAGTTTTTACTTTAACTTTTTTCTCACTCTAATATATTCATTAATAATATATTCATTGTATATATATATATATATATATATATATATATATATATATATATATATATATATATATATATATATATATATATATATATATATATATATATATATATATATATATATATATATATATATATATATATATGATTGCAATAAAACTTTGTTTTTTAAAATATTTTAAAAACCTTGTTCCATTGAATAAGATAAGTTGATCTTTTTTATTTAAATAAGCTGCATCCACGTAATCGAGTTCGGGAAAAAACTTCTTTATTTCATAGGGACCATCGGTGTTACTAAGATGTTCATTGATTATATACATTTTGTCTTTGTTGAAAAAGTAGGTAAGTCCACTTTGTTTGTCAAAAACTGCTGCCATGATGCGACTCGGACAACGACTTTTTGATTTATTTGGTTTTAATATATTTTCGTTATTAGGTGGTTGGGTAGGCATTTTCTTTCTAGAACCTACACAAAAAATGTGTTAAGCAATAATGTAAAAAAATTAATTAAAAAAGAAAGATAAGTTACAGAAAAACATTTCTGTTTTCAGTTTTGCATTTTGTGTAATAACTTTAGAAGATTAAATAAAATCTACCATCATAAGCCTCATATTCTATACGAATGAAAATTAAAAGTTTTTTTTTTTTTTTGCGCTCATTATAACATTTTAGAAGAATTTTATCCTTTTTTATTTTTATTGTAAATTATGTTATGTTGGTGAAAATAAATAAAATGTAATTAAACATAATATTCAATATATTTAGATAAATAAAATAAATATTATTCACCATAAAGAGTTTGTACTCCAAGAATATCATCATCAGTCAATGGAAAATCATTTCCTTTGTTTCCTCTGTAATAAGGAAACATAATTGCGTCCTTTACGTTTGAATGCTCTAATCCTATGCTATGTCCTATCTCGTGAACAGCAACCCATAGCAAATTACGGCCAGTTGATGAACCAATGGTAAACATTTCTGCATCGTCAAAGTGTACATCACCAGATAAACCTAATCAAGTAATTTGAATATGTTTTTCATCAAACGTTGCTCAGATTGTAAAAAAAAATGTATATAAGTTTAAAAAAAATTTAGCTTTAAAATAACAATGCTATACCTTCATTTGTGTGAGGATAAAAAGCGTGAGCTAACGTTCCACCAAGTCCATCAAAAACATATGGATCCTGATGATAATTTTGTACAAATTTTACTTCTATATCAACTTTCTCGCTACTTTGTAAATCTAATTTTTTAAAATTTAAAGAGGATACTTTTTCCCATTTTGTAAAGGCTTCAATTAGTACGTCTTCAACTTGATCACGTGTTAAACCATCATTGTTGTCATTTAGTAATTTCCAAGTAAGGTTCTAGAAATATATTATTATTAATAAATTTTATCTTTTTAATTTATTATTCTAACCTTCTGGGTTCTGAACCAGAACTCTAACCGCTGCGCCGCGGCTGCTTTAAATAACTGAGTTAACCTTTATTAATTTAAACATATGTTAGGTTAATCAATTCCCCATAAATTACTTTTTGATGTTTAAAAATTTTACTCCCTACAACCTTATCCTTGTAAAGTTTGATTTTATTCAAAATGTATTGTTTTAATTTTGTTATTGAGCAGCATAAAATATATTTTATTAGTCAAAAGTATCATTTCTTCACCACCTTTACATTATTTAAGTTGAAAATAATTTATATGATCTGCCTCCCTATATTTTTTTTCTAATTACGTTACTTTAGCAATTAAAATAAGCAAGAAAACTTTTACTGTTTTTTTCCAAGCTGATCCTTGCAGTGCATACCGTCTTTTCCTTGAGCCTAATAGAGTTCCAGTGTTACTTGAAAAATCAGGCATACCACATCTAGGTGTCTGAATTAACTCTTTTGTTGGAGCATCCAATATTCCAGATGCAGGAATTCCGGCAAATGTTTGTAAGTTTTGGAGCGATTCTTTTAATGCATTTTCATAATCAACTGGTTCGTCTTGAAAACTCTCAAAATCAGGAGCTTTGTAATAACCTAGTCGCTCTAAGTAATCCTAAATACGTAAATATCAACTTAGTTTTATATATATAATTAAAAAATTTTTGACTAATATAAGTTTAGTTTGATATTTCTCTTTTATAATAATAAATCAAACTCTCTTTTACCAGTTCATATTTTGAGATTTCGGTATTATCTTGTTGGTTTGCCAACGCTAATATAACCATTGAAAATCCAAAAGACAAACTTGTTTTTGTAAGTAACATTTCAGATTTATCTTTTGTATTAAGTTTTTTTAATTTTGTTTCAAAAAATCTTGAATCAGTCTATTTATACGAAAAATTTGGAAAAAATTGCTTTTTTTCATTATCGTGTGCAAAGTAATTAATCAAACCTGAATAAAAGTAATTGATGTGAGGTAAATAATTGACTCATAATAGTTACTTTTGAATGGAACTATAATTTGGCCTGGCACATTCTAATATTTCTTTTATAGAATACTTTAAACATTGTTGATTAGAATAAAAATCTTTTTTTGAGAGTTGTTGACATTCATATTTTTTCTTAAGGTTGAAGAATGGTTTAAGTGACGCAATAGTATTGTGTAAAACAAAATAGAATGACAAATTTAAAACACATTTAAAATGGAGGGACGAGGATGGGGGGGCGGGGAGATAATCCTGAATGACTAATAAAAGGTAATTCTTTAAAATTAAATTTATAAAGGAAAGTATTTAGAAATTAAAAAAGAAATTTTCCTCTACAAAAACATGCATTTAGATTTAAATATATATATAAAAAAAATATATGTACATGCAAAACCATTAGTGAAAGACATAGAAATGATAAATATAAAGGAAACCAATATTTACCAACACTTAATTTTTATTTATAAATATTATAGCTACTTGATTTTAATAAACTTAAATGATAAATTTATAAAAACAAAACAAGTTAACAAAAAGTATTCTCTTAGAATAAACCAAAGGAATAATTATAAATTGCCAAGAATTAGTAGCAAGAATTCTGAATATGGAATTGCACACTGTGGACCAAAACTATGGAACTCTTTTCAAAAAGCAGTAAATTAAATACAGTAAAATTGTTAAAACTCTTTTAAGTTTCAAATAAAAAATGAAATTTTTAAATAAGATAAACAACTGTATAAATTTCCCTAAATGAACATCTTTTTCTATTATTCTTAGTTTTTTATTTGTTTAATTGTCTCTTATATTTTATGTTTAGAAGAATTTGTAAGAATATTTAAATGATTATCGCTAAATTAAATTAATATCATTTACTTGATTAATTGAAAATATTAATGAAAGCTTCTATCATTTTTGTTATATTGGAATTCTATATATTATTTTTAACAATCTTGTTTTATTTTTAACTTTTAAAGCACACATAGGAGGTCTCAATGAAAATATTGAGGTGACTTTAGTATCTTCTTTAGATCATGTTTTTTATAAATCAATTTTTTTATGCAAACGTTTTTTTTTTTTGTATTTTTTTATTTATTTTTTTTATTTTTTGTTTAGCATATGCAAATATATATATATATATATATATATATATATATATATATATATATATATATATATATATATATATATATATATATATATATATATATATATATATATATATATATATATATATTGTATTTTAATATACTAAAATTAATTTTTTAGTATGATTTGATTTTTCACTCAAGATTATACCTAAAAATGATCTTGAGCGAAAACCTTTTCTCAATACATTGACAAAAAAAGAATGTTTTTAAAACTATCTATCAAAAGTCTCGAGTTAAAAACAAGTAATATTCAAATTTTTAGTTTTCTAGCTACGCATGGCTTGTCTTATGAACAACGATTCTCCAAGTAAGTTATTTTGTGTGTTATTTTAATTACATTTTAACCAATTTACTTATTTAAAGTTTTTATTTTTATTTTAGAAGTTGCTTAGAAAAGAATTAATCAAAAGTTTTAACAGATATAGCTTAGAAAAGAATTAATCAAAAGCTTTAAAATAGCGAAACAAAGTACACAAAATTGTTTTATATTTTTTTTAATAGATATTATAATTCTATGAATGAATAAAATGAATGAACAATTAGAATTAAATTGTATTGGAAGTTTTTTGTTATTAATTCATTCTATTTCTTTGTTTTCAGAACATGGTTAAAATCCCGAATTGCGGAAATGCAAAAATTTTTAACGGGTAAAGTGCGAGAATAAAATGCAAAAAATTTCTCATAACTATTCCTAGAATTCTAACCCAAACCATATCTCTGCCATAACCCAAACCATCAATCGATGTAGCAACACTCTCTACACCAGTGTACGTATATACTGAAGCCCCATAGCACATAACCTTATTTCCGCATTTTACCAGTAGAAAATTTCCGCACTCCACGTTTCCGCATTGTACCAATGTCTTGTTCAAACTCAAAATTAACTATCGTCTTTAAGTTGATTACTATTGCACATTTAAGAACTGAATTTTAGAAGCAATTTATTGTGCATTAAGTTTCTTTTTTACATTTAGTTTTAAATGCAAGTATTTACAGTTGTTTATCTATCTTTTTTAACATTTATATCTTTTATATTATTATCTTCGAAAAAAAAAAATTATTTTACTCACTACAATATTTAAAGGATCAACCAAATGCATTTTATTAGAGTGTCTTTTTTATTTGATTATGCTCCGGAAGTTAAATAAGGAGTTTTAAAGAAATAATAACAAAATTCAATGCAAATGATGAGTTTTTAAGAAATGTTTATGAACCTCGGTTTGGATAAACTTTAAAGTATATTAACAAAATCTTAAGTTTAAATTTATTCTAATAAAAAGAGATTTTCAAGTGTTACTATTGGACGGGTGTAATCTATATCTTAATTGTTACATTATTCATTTCACTGGCACGCGTTTGCATAACTGATGGGCATTAGAAAATTTTTGGATTATCTTTTAATTCATATAAATTACGACGTCATCAAATAAACGTCACTACTTTTTTTTTCTTTTTTTCTTTTTATGACATTGTTTTGTTATCTAACAACAACAATGTCAAAAAAAAACAGAAAAAAAAAACCTTACTCTAACTTTAAAATATCCGTTGAGCTTGGTACATATAAATATATTGTGAGAAAGTCTTTCAAGTTAGCATGCAACTCACATATTAAAAAACACAACATTTTTTTCTGCTTTACAATAACAAAAGTTTTTTTTTTTTTATTACAAAAACAAAAGTGAGAATGTTTGTCACGTACTTTAAGAGCACATTTTGCAATCAATCGTATTTAAAAAAAAGTAATAAAATTTTTTAAATAAATTATGGTTTGGTTGCGCGAATGACAAATGTATTAAAAATGGCTCTCGGTTGTATTATATTTAATCGATATTTTTGGCTGTAGTTTTTGGTAAATTTATTATCTCATCCTTTAAGTCATTCGTAACAAAATTGTTTTTTAAAAATTGGGACTAATGTTTACAATTTTACCTTGGTAAACTTGATGTTGTTTATATAACCGATGACACCTATCAGCTACAAACCTTTTGATTATGAATAAATACTACTTTAGTAGAACAGCAATACGTTATTAAATACTTTAAGAAAAATAAAAATAAAATACAAAATCAAATCAGTTTTTTTAATGAAGAGATAAGAACTAAGCATTAAATATTTTCAATGTTACGTTGCAGAAGAGTCAATTAATTTTATTTAAATAAAGAATTAATTCTTTTAATATATATACTGAAAAATTGTTTTAAAAAAAATCAATTTGTAGAAGTAATTTTCTATGAAAGACTGAAAACCAAATATAAAATTTTCAGAAATCATTCCACATTATAAAGAACTAAACCATTCGTAATACTGCGTATTACCAAAAAAAATGCATATTTTCCGATTATTCATTGTTTTATCTATTACCGTACTCGGTACTTCTCTCATTGTATAGGGTAGTACTAATTATGTTACGATAAAAAATTCTTATCGCAAACAAAAACAATTGTGAAGGCTTTTTTTTCACTGCTAATCTCTTTTAGGAACTTAAAGCTATATGCTTTAAGTTCCTAAAAGAGATTACCAAATTTTACCATTCATGTTTAAAACACTTCTCGGTGGGCACCGGACCAAAAAAAGACGTCTTTTGAACGTTTAAAAGACCTCCTAAACGTTCAAAAGACGATCAAAAGTCGTCCAAAACGTGTATAAGACGTTTAAAAGACGTCTTTTTTACGTCTTTGATTACTGGGTTTATAATTATAATTTTATTTTAAATATTTAATTTATTTTGTTGTATTTCAACGCGTGTAATTTAGCGTGTTTAAAAATTACTATGTAAAGTAAAATGAGTTGACTTATTTTAAAAAATTTTTAACTTTTAAAAACCTCTCCAAACTTAAGTTTAACCTAAGAGTAAAATTATTCTGTTTCTCTATTAAAGTTATTCTGTCTCTCTAAAAACAATTTTTTTTTATTTTTAATAATGTTAAGTTTATGATTTATTGACATAAACATTTTTATTTATTTATTATAGCAGGCTTGGTCGGGAAGCGGGTGCGATTGCACTCGATAATTGACCACGGAATATTTAGTTGCGAAAAGCCGGCCAGATTTTGAAGTCGTTTTTAGAACATTTCAAAAACAAACTTTAAGATTAACTGGACCATGAAAGACAGTTAAAAAAGACGCGAAAAAACTTTAAGCAAAATAATTATGATTAGAGCAAATATTTTTGAAACGTCGCTCTTTTATAATTTTTTTTTATAAAATTAAGTGACATTTTTTGTATAAATCAATAAAATACTATTAATGATTGTTTAATTAGGAAACAAATGTTCTTCGATTTATCAAAGAATATATATAATTTTTATTTATATACTTATGTCTTATTTCCAGTGCTTGATTGAGGAGGTAGGGGGGGGGGAGTAGAAGGGCTATAGCCTCGAGACTCACAATGTTGGGGGCCGCGAAATAGTCAAGAGTCATTTTTACGCTGTGGCACATAAAAAAAGGCCGCCAAAATAATGCAGTCCCCGGCCCTGAAAAGTCCAACAAGATTCAACCAATAAAACTAACGCTAGATGATTTATTTATAAATAAAAAAGTTTTTTCAATAACTGTTTTATGCTTCGCGTAGTTTGAAAAGTTTAACACATTTGAAACAATTTTTCTTAGTAAGATGAACAATTGAAATAATTAAATCATTGAGTTACTGCAGAAATTCAATTAGCTAAATAGAAATTAACTAAAAACGTTAAATTATTTTGTGAGGAGGAAGCGGAACTGCTTCACAATAAGCTGAAGATGTTTAATAAGTGGGCTTTATAATTTTTATTAGTTTTTAAAACAGAAAAAAGTAACTTTAAGTATAACGAGTTTGTAAGAATGGCTGAAGCAAAAATAATTGAAGTTAGTAAACCAATTTCTAAGAACTTAAAAACTTTTCTTTCTTGGGGTATAGAATCAGTTATTGGGTACGCTGAGGAAAATGGATTAGTGGTTCAAATTATTTGTATTAACTTTGATGATTATTATTAATTTCATTAAAAACGCAGTTACTATTGAAAGTATTTTTATTTACAAAACCAATCACACAAATTGCTTTAAAGGATTACACATGAATAAAATACACATACATAAAATTAAATGCACAAAAAACACATTCATAAAAATACATTACATAAAAAATACATTACATACATAAAAAATACATCCATTATATAAAAATAAAAATATACTAATAAAACCTATGATATATTTACAAAACGTTGACAAGTTAAAAAAGATAAATTTAAAACATTTATTTTTGTAAACAAATAATCTTAGTTTAAAACATTTATTGCTTTGTAGATTATAGATTTATAGATATATTTGTAGATTATAGATTATAGATTTGGCTCCGAGAATTAAAATAGTAGTTCGTTTGATAGTATATTCTTAAAACAATTTATGCTAGAAATCTCAACGAAAACATAACAAAACTCAAATAAATACAATTGTTTAAAATATTTTAACAGAATACTCTACAAATTTCGGTTAGTATTTTTTAATTAGTTGTTCGTAGATTTGGCGGGTTTTTTGTGTTTGCAAATATTCTTTTTTTATTTTCCGCATAAAGATATTTAAGATCATTCGAGTTTATGTATGTTTCCATGTATGTCCGTAAAACAAAATTTATATAAAATAATGAACTTAATTAAGGAAACCAACATAAATTTAAATGTTCTCGAAACGGCTAAAAAATCTGGCCGGTTTTTCGCAATTAAATATTATTTCTGTGGTCTGTTATTGAGTGCGATCGCACCCGCTTCCGGACCAAGCCTGTTATAGACTACAAAATTTGTTTATTAGAGACTACAAAAGACTTTAACATTGCAAAATTATTAGTAGGTTGCAACTGCTGTTAATATTTAAGTGGTTTTTAATGTTCTATTTTACAATAAATTTATATAGGTTAATTATTATGTAATAGTTTTCAAAAAACTATTACATAATAATCAAATAAAAACTAAGGTGTGGTCAGTGATGGATCCAGAGAGCGGGAATGGGGTATGCATCCCTTCCACCAGAATCTGAAAATCCTAAAAAATAAGGAGCTTTTTTTTTTTTTAAGGAGACTCGAATGTGGTACAAAATACAAAAAAATTTCAATGCATTGTCTTTACTGTCGTCCGTGACATTGTATTGATCGTCATAGTTTCCTTTAAGAGATTTGTATATTTCTTTTACTTTTTCCCATCCTCAATGCAACAATAACAAATATTTTTCCGCAAATCTTCTGTAACTCCTGTTGCAACTAAATACAATTCAAAATCTTATAAAACTCAAAATACACGAAGGATCAATAATCAAATTTTCTACGGTAACAGAAGAAAAAAAAAATGTAACTGGAACGGTAACCATTGAACTATAACAATGATTATTACAAAAAAAATTATGAAAATTATTACAATGATTTACTTGAAAAATACAAATTAAGTCGAAGCGCACTTAAAAAGTTATAAGAGAAATCACAGAAAATTTCAAAACGAAAATATTCACATTGCCTAAAACCATTTTAAAAAATGATAAATTTTTGCATGATCAAGGAGAGAAAGCAAATGACCTAAAACAAATTTATCCAAAGAATTTCCTCAAGCAATTAATCTGTCAGATAATGTAATAAATATTTATACGTCATCAGGCCCGTGCGGTAGATTTTCTCATTATGAGGCAAATCTTCGAAATGCCGCCCCTTAAATGTTTTTCTTTAAAATAACCTTCGATTGTGATTTAAAAAAAAACTGCACAAAATGTACGAATTCTACTTTTTATTTTGAAATTTTAAAATAATGATTTCAACTATAAACTACAACAATGTACAGTATTACAGCTTTACTCTTCTAACTTTAACTTTAGCAAATTCGTTAATTACTGATGTGTAGTCTAGAGTGCTAGCCATTGCAGATTCAATAGAAATTAATGCCAGATTTTTAAGTTTTGTTTGTCCTATTGAACTTCTTAAGTAGTTTTTTATTAATTTTAATTTGGAGAAACTTCTTTCCCCACTAGCTACAGATACAGGGAGAGTTAATAAAATTCTCAGAGCTACAACAGTATTTGGATACAAACTAATTAAGCTATTTTGGCATAAATAATTTAAAACATCCAAAGGTTTCGTAGAATATGGTAGCATTCTGGATACATCACGCAATTCTTCTCTAAGGTCATTTGCATTTATATCTGTTTCATTTTCAACCGAAAGTATAAACTCAAGACTGGAACAATAATTTTCTAGCGTTTTGTCATCT